CATAAATTCCGATAAGTTGTGCTTGAATTTTCATTGAATTGTAGATATTGTTCAAATTCTTGTTTAATTTTCTCCATGATCCATTGATTGCTGAGGATGACATTGTTTAATTTCCATGTATTTAGGAGCTTTTCTTGTTTCTTTTGTCATGTATTTCCAGTTTCATTGCACTGTGGTCTGATAATATGCATGAGATGATTTCTATTTTCTTGAATATACTTGAGCATGACCTATTGACTAGTGTGTGGTCTGTTTTAGAAAATGACCCATGTGCAGCTGAAAAAAATATGTATTTCTCTGTGGTTGGGAGGAACACTCTATGTATGTCCACTAAGTCCATTTGTTCCAAGCTCTGCTTTAGTTCTGCTACTTTTTTTGCTAATTTTTTGTCTGGTTGACCTATCTTTTTGGGATATGGGAGTGTTAAGATCCCCTGTTAAGACTGTGGTATTGGGTTTAGATTTTTCATGTCAATTAAGATTTGTTTTATATAATTGGGTGCTCCCGTGTTTGGTGCATACATATTTATGAGTGTTACAATAGTAGCAACTTATAAGCAGAATTGGTAATTGTCAGAAGTTGTTGACTTGTGTCTTTTACAGCTCAGCCTATTAATATACCTCGTGGTTATACTTATCTGCTGAATGGTTAAACAAAGGTAAAGAAAGAGCTGTTTAGCTAAAAATGTAACTTTTGTATCTGACAAGGTCCGTCAAATCCATCAGGATTTACGCTGGAACCATGTACAATTCTGTAGATCTTTTGTCAGTGTCAGCCATCTGGATGAGTCACAGTCATTTCTGGACCATGGGCATTCTTTGAAAGTCTGTGAGCAATTTTTTCTCTCTAGGTGACTCTCCTTAGGTGCATTCTACATCACTGATCACTTTCCTCTGGGACTTCTTAATCTTGATCAGAAAATTTGGGACACAACTGAGTTACATGATATCACAGCACAGGTTGTCTTATGTACTGAGTCCTCACTGACCTTGAAGGACCTGGGCCAAAATATTGGCTACCTTTGTAGCCCCTCTATTTCTCTAATTTTTGGTCTGTTAACTTTAGTTGTTAAACATCCAGAAGAAAAACTTAATGATATTACCCTGTAGCACAGTTGAGCTTAGCATCACTACCTGCCTGAATATCAAATGCTGTAGACATAACACGGAGCTGTAATTTTTACAGCAACCAGGGATATTCTAAAATTTAAAGTCCTATAGAAACAATTACAGTCCATGAAGAAACAATTATATATTTTTATACAAAAATTTAGAAATTAAACCCTATACAACATTGTAGCAGGAGAATACTGTTACTTATTTTCTTGTTTTCTTTTATTACCTTATTTTTTTTTACAAAAACTTAGTGCAAGGTGAGTATAACAATAATTAATATGATGTTAGAAGCAGTATGCATTTAGAAGAACAAAAAGACAGGTGTTTTAAACACAATTTTAGTATTGCACATTGCTATCATCAGTGTAGTTGCTTAGTTCACAGATATCAGCATATAGTGTTAGTCAGGGTGAGAATTCTACCCACTAGCTGCTATTTTGAAAAACCTGATGAAGACTCTTAGGACCATTGCCTTAATCATCTTTTTTATATAAGTATATGGTTTTGCCCCTGCCATATTTCCCAATTTTCCTCCTTTCTCTCTCTTCGTTGTTTAATCTTTAAGTTCTCTCTTTCCATTTCACTGTGTTATACCTTTCAATTTTTATTTCTTCTTCAAAGTTCTTACACTAGGTAAACAATATGGGATTTACACGTGTGGGATTGGTTAATTTCAGTTTTGAGCATCGCTTCAAGTTGCATCCACTTATATATCAAGGCTTTGAGTTCAGCATTCTTTGTAGCTGAGTCATACTCCATTGTATAAAAACTCCACATCTTTTTCATCCATTCCTCAGGTGACAGGCATTTCGCTTGCTTCCAAGATTTGGCTACCACAAATTGTGCTGCTATAAACATAGGCACACATATGTCACTATGATATGTTTTCAGGTCTTTGGGGAAAATTTCCAGAAGGGGCATAACTGGATTGAATGAGATTTCCAGTCCTAGTTTTTGAAGGAGTCTCCACACTGATTTCTATAATGGTTGCACCATTATGCTTCTCACCCACAGTGAAGAAGGGTTTCTCTTTACGCACATCCTCTCCAACATTTGTTGTTAGTTGATTTGTTTATGATAGCCATTCTTTCTGGGGTGAGATGGTATCTTAGTGTTGTTTTAATTTGCATTTCATGCATGGATAGTGATGTCGAGCATTTTTTTCCATGTATTTATTTGCTTCTTGTATGTCTTTCTTTATGAAGTGCTTGTTTATCTCACATGATCATTTCTGAGTTGGGCCTTCCAGTTTCATGACCCTAATGTTTTTTTAGTTGTCTATAAATTCTTGATAGGGGACCTTTATCTGAGTACTTATTAATTAAGATTTTTTCCAAATTTGTGATTATTTTTTCACTCTGTTGGTAATTTCTTTTGACAGGCAAAAACTTTTCAATAAGAAGAGGTCTCAGATGTTAATTATTCCAAGTATTTCCCATCTAGTTTGATTTTTGTCCTTGAACTGTTTACCTACCTGTATGTCTTCAAGAATTCTTCCTAATTTCTTTTCTAGGGGCTTTAGTGTTTCTCTTTTGATGTTTAGATCTTTAATCCATTTTGGCTTTAGCTTAGTGCATGGTGATAGACCAGTGTTAGGCTTTAGTTTTTGGTATGTAGAGAGCCAGTTTTTCCAGTACCATTTGTTAAAAAGGCTTTCTTCTAGTCATCACATTTGGCCTTTTTGTAAAGATAAGGTGGCTGAGTGTGTTTGTAGAGCCTTCTGCATCTTCTAATCTATTCCATTGATCCTCAGGACTTTTTTTTTGGCCAATGCCATGCTGATTTTATCACAGTGACTGTGTAGTATAATTTTAAGTCAGGAATTGTAATGCCTCCTGCTTTGTTTTTGTTGCCTAGAATTGCCTTTGGTATTCTAGTTTTTTCTGGTTCAAAATAAGTTTTAAGAATGATTTCTCTGTGTCTTCAGGGTTTGTTGTTGGTAATTTTATAAGGACTGCATTAAATCTGTATAACAATTTTGGGGGTATGGCAATCTTCACAGTGTTGGTTCTTCTATACAGGAGCAGGGAATATCTTTCCATTTTCTGAAATCCACTACGATGTCTTTTTTCAGAGTACTGTAATTTTCCTTGATTGGATCTTTTACTTCTTTAGTTATGTTAATTTGTAAATATTACATTTTCTGTGGTGCTATTGCAAAAGGTATTGTTTCTCTATACATTTAGAAATTTATCCACAGAGTGGTTTCTGCGAGGTGAGATGTAGATGAAGATGGATGGACTAAAGAAGAGAATGACAACTGTGATGTAAGCAGTCAGTGTGCAATGTGCTTTGAATAGCCCAACTGTTAGAGTTCTTCCTGACAGTTCTGAGGATGAGACTCTAGGTCATAAGGATAATAATGAAACAGCTGTTGGTGTTCCTTCCACTGTTGGCACCAGTCATTATCTATACATAATAAGTATCTGTATATGCAAGTTTACTAACCAGTGGGAGATCACAGGAAATGCTTTTTCCCACATTGCCACCACAGACAGGCAAACTCACAATAAGTGTAACTGAAGCCATGAGTGAAGGAGACTTAAAAAACATGAGATCACAGCAAATAAAATGTAGACCTTCTTACTCATGATGGTAACACTGTGTAAGATTTTACAAGTGGCTACGTGTCTGTCATTAGCTAGGTAATCCAGTAGTATCATTTCATGTCCACCAAGGAAGTGCAGAGGAAGTATCTGAGTGAAGCAAGCATCAAAAAAGTGGTCTCTCTGCTTCCTACCAAGTTCATGATCATTTTAAGGTCGCAAAGGAAGCAAGAGTCAGATAAATCAAAGGAGAGTTTTCCAAGGAGGATGTATATGGTGGTGTTCAGGCTTCAAGTGATAGCCCACCAGGGGGCAGGGCTGGCTGGCATGTGGTGCTGGGGGATTGAACCGCGGTCCCTGATGCTTTTGCTAAGCTTGTTCTAAGTAGGTGCT